AAACATATCATAGGGTTTTCCTACTATTTGATATTTTGGAAAGTAAACATATTTAAAAAAAAATTACCTACTTACCTCTGTATCCTGAGTGTTTTTTGGAGTGTTCTTATCGGCCAAGAATAGCAGACTTTTGTATGCAAACCATTTGGAAGTGTACTTTTCATCTGCACCACTCCCAGTTTTTAAAGATTTTTTCTCCTTATTTCGCTCTCTAGAAAACTGGCTTTGCAAATTTTTAATCTTTTTTTCTACATCACATTTTTCAATTCCAAAAGATACAGCGATTTCCATAAGTCCATCGTGCCTTTTATTTCTATTTTTATATAGCGAATCAGTTGGATCCCACAATAAACTACGTTCACGATACATTTCAATAAAAGAAATTGTTTGTTCGTCACTCCAATCCATCATAAATATAAACTTAAACTAATTTTAAATAAAATAATTGATAACCAACAGTCTGAAAAGTTGCACAACACGGTTCAACACGTCCACACTACTGATGTCGGTTCGACCTCCTTAGATCTTTACCGACTTGATTCGGTTGAATTCGGTTCGGGCCGGCATGATTCGACAAAGCCGGGCGACATGTCCACGTGTTCGACAGTGTCGATCAACCGGGTCGATCGACCCCGTTCTGCATAGTCTGGACGCGGCTTTACTGTCTTCTATCATACTAGCTGCTACTAAGCTACACTGAGCACCTGTGTCTATCAAGACATTCCTAATTATACCGTCTACTTCAATGGTCATGGTATTTTTCTGGGCATCTATATCCGTGCACGCGAATATAGATGTCCATCCCTTCCGTCGATATTCTCATATCTTCTTCGACTCCTGCAGGGAATTCGCGAGGAGTCGCTGCGTCGTTTAAATCTACTTCTCGGCGGTTTGTCTTGGTGGGTTTGTTTATATTCCGCTTAATCGGACAGTCGGCTATTCTATGCCCTGCCTTTTTACATCCATAACACAAATCTTGTTTTCTGTACCTCCACCTCAAAATGTCATCTCTTACCACAGAAATCGCATTCTGCAAAATTATTCCTTCCTTGTCCGTAATGTCTTCGAGCACGTGTTCCAACAAATCTCTCCCGTTGTGGTTTTTTACGAGTCGTCGCGACGCTATTTTCCGTACGTCTGTGTTCCCTGTATCCATTTCTTTTGTAGGCGCCGCTACTGTGTCCGTTATAACTCGTCGGTCGGGCTTGTGCGCTTCGTACTTGCCTTGGGCTAGGGTTCGTCAACCTTTCTATGATTTCTCCCTTTTCGGCTACCTCTAATGCCTGCTGTAAGGTCGTTGGCCCTGAAAATAATACCTTTTTACGTAGAGGGTCCAACAATCCCATCGTGAATTGCGTAACTATTTCAGCTTCTTGTCTAATTTTCAGCACATCATCTACGGCTTGAACACCTGTTAACATCATTAATTTCGCAGCGTTTACCTTCAGTCGTGCCAAAAAATTCCTACATGATTCTCCTCGATATTGCCGGCATTCTGAAAATTTTCGCTGATCTTGACCTGGGATTTTCAAAATCCCGAATTGGTCAATCAATCCTTTCTTCAATGTTTCCCAATCAGACGTTGTTCGTAACAACTCGTCTGCTTCGACAATTTGTTAAGCGATACCTCGTAATCTCAATCGTACTGATGCTGTAATTCTGCCGTCATTCCATTTTGCTAAAGCTGTCGTATCTTCGATGGTCCGCACAAATTCGATTACATTTGTACTCCCATTATACAGGGTGTTCCTTAAACACATGCTAATATTTAAGTAGGTAATTCTTAGACCCATTTTAAGAAAAAAACTTCCTATGGACGTATGTCCTAAACGCCTTAACTTTTGAGATACAGGGTGTAACCCCCCAAATTTTGAAAAGGCAAATTTAATAATTCAAAATTTGGGATGCCAACACCTTT